TTAGCTGTGGAGGGCAGTGTCACTGGCCCTCATATGTGGGATCCGAACCGGGGCCCTCTGGCATCCCAAGCGAGTTCTTAACCATCGCGCCACTCCGCCGGCCCAGAAAGTGATTCTTTATAATAGAGCAAATCTTGTATCTGTCACTGTCTTATGAGATGAGCTAGTAAATCACTAATCTAGCCATATCTTGCTTTTTTTTCCCTGTCTTTTTCTACGTTTTTTGGCAGAGAGGAAGCTTTACTGTCCTGTATAGTGAGGCATTTGACTGTCAGGAAAGGGAGACAAACTGAAACTCCACTTGCTTAATAATTGCCATGAGGTGATCTACTACCCAACGCTGTCCAGGAGTCAATTGGGACTGAGCTTAATGCAATTCATTAGAAAAATGGAGCACAGGTTTTCCAGTTAAAAGTATGATGCTTTAACAAGGTAGATTAAGTTTATGAAATTCCTAACATACTTTATATTTACCTTCTTACTTATTGGAAGAAAAATTTAAAGTAATGTAAAAACTCATAAACTACTTTGTGTATCCCAATTCTATCTTATTTTTATTATCATGTTATATTGAAGGTCAAAAGAATAAAAGTAACCTAATTTGAAGTATATATGACACTGGGATAAGTGTGTGTGTGTGTATATATATATATATATATATATATATATATATATCCTGTTATTAAAAACCATGTGATACTGAAACCCCAATACGATAGACATCAGATTATAGGAGTGATAATTAAATGTCTCTACATCTGCAGCAATGCCTTCAGTCAGATGCTTTTCTTTGATCCCTCTTTTACATATCATCTGCCTTATTTATGTAGATCCTTTGAAAATCATGTGCAGCTTCCAAATTTGTATGTGATAAGCCTGTTATATTTGGGTTCATGATAGATCTGATGGGACAGAGAGGCAGCTGCAGTGGCTTGATAGTAATTTATCCTGTTCTGCAGGGTGCTAGGACCTGGTCTACCTCGTACACCCACCTGCGTCAGGTTTGTCCAGACCCAAGTGAGCCTAGCAAGAATAAGGAAACCTCTTACAATAACCTATCTTATCGCATAGTATTTCCATACACATTGCCTCATCTAGGAAAAATTGTGGCGTATAAAAGGAAGATGTGTTAGAGCTGGAGATTAAAATTTTTTGCTCTGAGTATTTGTCATTTTGAGGCTTGTTTTTCTTATATATAAAATATAGTATATATTACAGGAGATTTTCAGGGTTTTATGCATATACAATTCAGACATAATTTATAAAAAGTGCCTGCACATTACCTGGCACACTGAGTATGAGTTTTCAATGCATACTTGTGGATTAGGTAATTACTATTATTTTGTCTATTTTAGATGGACAATTTGAGCATTAGGGGTATTGAATTACTTGCTAATGCTATACACATTCACTTAGTGTTGAAGACAAAACTTCAACTCAGTGTTAAACTCATCCCACAGCACGTTACTGTCTCCTGTTGGGTTGATTAAACTCTGAAGCATTTCTACCATCTGGTCCAGCTACAGGCAGGGCTAGACTGGGTCTCAATAAGTAGCACTTGATGGGTATATGATGTATTCTTGATGGGAATAGACAAAGAGACGGAGGGCAGAAGGGAATAGGGAATATAAACGAAAGCACTAACAAGTAAGGTCACTGATGGATAGATCTAGAAGGAAGAAAGCACTGTACACAGCATGCTGAAGAAAATATTTCAACCAAAGGGAGACTGACAATGTGGAATAAGGGCAGGTTCCCCACTGGAAATGGTGAGAAAAAGGCTGAAGGAATTGTGTGCTCCCATAGCAGCTGTTCCTTTGACGTGAATACTCTCCTTGATTTTGTGACTAATTGCCTTGCAAAGATTTCTGTAGAAGAATCTACTACAACCCCTCAACTCTCACATACATACAAGTCATTTAATTTTAATAATTCTAAGTGCCGTGAAATGCTACCTTCAATACTCAATGAAATGAATGGGGAAGAGAAGGTATAATGGCAAGGACGTAAATAACTATGCAGTTGGTAGATGGGAAATCCAGCTTTTCCGACAAGTTTAGCCTTGGCCAGTGTGGCCAGTGGTTTTTTGTTTGTTTTGTTTGTTTTTTGTTGTTGTTGACTTTTATCCATCTTTCCGATGTTCTCTTCAAGGAATAGGAAAATTTCAAAATCAGATACTCCTAATATATAAAAGTAAATAGGCAACATTTTGGAGAATGTATTACAGTTTCACATAATAGAATACTTAACAGTACATCATATTATATGTAAATGAGTAGGTAGAATTTTAATAAATACACAACCAGACCTAAGATGTTTTCAAGTGTAACTGTTAAGCCTGTCCAGGCAGGCAGTTTACTTAGCATTTCTGCACGAAAGAGACGCCTTGGAAATGCATTCCTTTAAAAAACTTAAGAAGTACTTTTTGAAATGCATTTCATATAGAATTTTATATCAAATAACTGACCAGTAAGATAGCTCTGATCTTTGGCCCGATAAGAAATATCAGGTTCTCTCTGTATATAAATGACTGTAAGTAATTGACAGAAGTACTTCCCGCCATTCTCAATCTGATGACACAATCTATTTTAATGGTGGTGTTGCTATAGTGGAAATGTAACATGTGCTTCTTAATAGAGCAGCCAAACGCTCATGAAATGTAATTCTGGATATCACAGTCATGCTGTGTTATTAGATAAACCATCCCCCCATGGCCCCTCCACCCACACACAGAACCAGAGTTAAATAGCCTGCCTGGTACAGGGAACTCTATTCATTTACAGTTGTTAAACCTTTTATTTTTCTTGGATTTGTTCTCGCAAAGATTCTTACTATGCCAATAGGAATTTTCACTACCTACATTATGTAAATAATATGCAGCATTTTGCAAAGTGGTTATCAGAGCTAGATAGATTTCTTGAGGCATGTCATTATTAATCCATGCTAAAGCCTCGGACATCCATGAGGTATGTGTCAATGTGGAGGCATTTAGTATGAGGTGAAAAGGAGGAGAGCCCAGTTTTCACCTACAACAAGAGGGTTCAAATTAAAGGTATGTTTGGTAAAACAAGAAATAAGGATATGGTAAAAAATAGGTTTTTGATTGGTACTCATGAGGCGGAAATAATAGACATAGCTTGACAAATAATATCTCACATTGATGTCTGAACATGTTAAAAGTGATTAATTTTAAAATTAACAATTATTTTTCATTATCATAGTACTACATAGTTGTACAGTATTACAGAGAACATTTGAGAAGCTTAGGTGGTAATATAAAATCTCCCATGGAAATTTTATGCCCAGTGTTGAAAATTTACATTTCTAGTAAGAGGTTATAGTACCCAGCCATGATGGTAACATTTTATATTAAATTTATGACAGTAAAGTTCAAATTTTCATTCCTTGTGATCTAACTCTGATTTGTAATTAATAGCAATCTAGTAGGTAGCNATCATAATGTAAATATCTTTTTGTTTTCCGATGGTCTTAGGCGACCCCTGTGAAAGGGTCATTCGACCCCCAAAGGGGTCACGACCCACAGGTTGAGAATCGCTGCTTTAATCAAAGCTTACAAATAGTCTTTTACTCCAACAATCTAAAATTTATGAATATCAGTGATATTAATATTCTAGTTCCATTTATTTTATTTTCCATGATTAAATTTAGAGAAAAATGAGGTGAATAAAATGCAATTTGTAGGGCAAGAAAACTTTACCATATCTTTAAGTAATTTTTACCATTATTTATACATGTACTCATTTAAAAATTGGTAGTTCAGTTTGAAACAAAACAGAACAAAATTACTAGCCTTAGTATCAATAAACAACCCCTTGTTCTTTATTGATTCCTTAAACAATTTAGTCTGTAGATTATGTTCTAGGCCCTTTCCTTATTCTGTATGAGTGTTCTCATTTAAGGAAGATCATTTCATTGACATAGCAATGACTTCCAAGTCTTTATTTCCTGCATTTTTTTGTTTGAGAAGTAGACAAATTTATCCAATTATTTACGGTGTAGGGATGTAGGTATCTCAAAGTCAACATTAGGAGAATACAGAATTACCTCCTTCCAAAACTCATTTCTCTTCTTCTTATTCCTATCTCAGTGAATGGCACCTATTCATCCACTCACAGGTGTCTACCCCAGAAACCTGCATATCTTCCTTGACCTCCTCTTTCCTACCACATCCAATCAATCACCCAGGCTTGCCAATACTACCTCCTAAGTCCCTTGATCCCATTTACTTCTGAGTCTTCACTGCTACTATGTGAGTTTAAGTCACTGTTATTTTTCATCTCCTAATTGGTGACATGATGGCTCACCTCCCTTCCCATCTATCTCTGATCCTACAGCCAAATGGATACATCTAAAATGTGAGCTTGATTTTATCACTATTTTCAGGTAAAACATTTGAGTCTCTCCAATGCTCTCAGAACAAAATCCAAACTGCTGAGTTAACATGGTGTGAAATCCCTTCACACCCGAACTTCATTTGTTATCATTACTTAATTGCGCTTGGGGATTCCAGAAAAAAAGTCATCTCCTAACCTCTGAACTTTCATATGTTATGTACTTTTCATGTCCCTCCACAGCATTCTGCCTTTGTCCTTATTATAACAGCACATGGGCATTTTGTAATGCCTGACAACTTATCTGAAACTTCATCTACACTGAATTATGTTTGTTTCTTCTTTACTTACTTCAGTGCCTAACAAAGTGCTCAATATATATTTGTTGAATAAATCAATACATTTAATAAATTTCTCCAAATTGTTCTTTCAATGTTCTACTGGTTTTCAGATTTTTTACATCATTACTTTGTACAAATGATATGTTTAAAAGATGTCTTCAATGTGAAGTAGAGATGATAATCTCTGGTTTCCCAAGTCAAGTGAGATTAATGGCTGTTTTTTTGTGTGTTTTTTTAAAATCAGATATCTCCCTATAATTGTGACTCTACTATTCTATGAAAGTGATGCTTATCTCTTGATCATTTGAAGCAAGAAAAGTTGGCATTTTCTAACATATTTTTCATTGTCATTAGGGCTTTCTTTCAGTGGTAGAATTCCCCACTTAGATCTGTGGTGCTATTCAGGTGTGGCTATAGAAAGAACAGATCTGTTTCCCAGACCTATCAAGTGGAATCTTTGTAGTATGGGCTAGGAATCTGCCTCTTTAACATGATCTCTGTGCAGCTCTAATGAACTTCTCTATTTAGGATTAATGACCTAGAGCTAGCCTTTGAGCAGTTTTGGCTAACTAATTTTCTCACTAGACTTAGATTTTTTAATGATCTCTCTTATAATTTTATCTTTTACACTGGAATCTAATCATATTACTCTATTAATAGCTGCTTTATTGACTCTAGTCTATATTTACAAAAGGAGTGGATGTCATAATTGGCTCTTTGCTACTTATACTTTTTACTGCCTTTATTCTATGGAAATGGAAAGTTGTTATATACACTATAGGCCTTAGATGTATAATCCAGGAGAGTGACTTAAGAGAGTGGTATCTCCAGTAAGCCTGGCTCTTTCACTTACAGGTTTGATTCAACTTTTGAATTTGAGAATTACGATAATAACAGCCGCTTTGAAGAGTTATTGTGAGAATTGACTGAAATAATGTATATTAATCACTAACACAGTACCTGGCCTGAAATAATTGCTCAAACTATTAGTAATTTATTCTTGTTATTTTTGTTATTATATTAAGTAATCTCATAAATGTGGTAGGTGTATCCACACATGGCGAATTTGTAAACTATTTTACTATGTCAAGGGGAAACAATTAACATTTAATTTCTTGTGGTCTGGAAAAGAAATAACTCACAGAAAGCCTGGTTAGGGTAGCTGTTTGGGAAATTCATAGAAGTGAAAGTTGTGTTTGGTTCCCACAGTTCAAAAGGTCCTCCACAGTCCGCTGAAAAGGAAAGCAATGAAAAATCATTAGTAACATAATGTTTATTTCAGGGAGATAATACTATTTGCTAGAAAATTACATTTCTTGAAATACTGGTTTTGACAGATAAATTTTTCTGTATGTGTATGAGAAAACTTTGCAACTTATGTGTTTCTTTACTGAAGAATGTCTCAAAACCTTAAATATTCCTGTGTTCTTTGTGAATCTCCAAAAGTGTATAATAGTGTGCATCATTTTCCAAAATTATTTGGGCAAGGAAACCTTTTTGCTGACCATCTTTTATAAACAGGCTGCATGAGAAAGGTGCCAACCTGCTGCAGTAAGAAAGAAAGTGATTCTTTTTTTTTTTTTTTTAAATTTTTATTGGGGAATTAGGGGAAGGGGAACAGACAAGTTGCTGTCATTTTCGTTCTTCAATCTAGTTGTGGAGGATGTTGCTTCACTGGCCCAAGTTG